ATGTACGTGAATTTAAGGGTCATCTTCGACAGTGATGCGTCACGCCTTCCTTTCTGGATCTTAAAATGTCATCAGCAGTAATTTTGTTTTAAATGGGGAAACCGTTCGTGAATGTTAGCTGTGCAGTATGTATTGATTTCTATTGCTTACAGATAGCTGCTTATTCCGATACACTGTATTCTTGGTGTAGGTAGTCAAGGTTTGGATTCTTTAGTTGGTCCAGTGTTGATTTGTTGCGCGCATCGTATATGATTTTTATGCATTCGGGTGTCACGAAAGGTCAAGGATAACCTTTTTTTTCTTGCAGACCTTTGTTGTTATCAATGCTGCTCTGAACGGATCGGACGTTTACGTTAATTGTTATTTTAAACCTAATTATTATGGACACATTTAAATCCCAGGGAATGATGGTCCAGGTTTTGCGTGGAACGTCTTCGACTAGCGCCGCGCAGAGCTATAGCGAAGGTAGTTCGCTTCCAGGACAACGCTATATTATGAGCAGTGTTGGTTTATAACTTTTATCAGACTTAATCTTGTAACGGTTTGTCTTATAACCAAGGTTCTTTTGAAGAATTATTTGCTATGTGATGTTGCAAAAAGTGGTGCCGTGGTTACTAGGTATATAATTCATTGAATTTTACAGGCACCTCACCCTGTTACTAAGAGACTTGCAGTTCAGTCATCTCAGCCATCTATTGCTAATCGTACAATGGTTGTGACCCCAGTACAGTCACGTTTTACGCCAGGAATTCGTTTGGGAACTCATCAGTCGTTAGACACTACAATGTGTGGTTTGAAACGGCCGTTCACTCACGATTATGGCCACGAGTTCAATGCAACTCGTAAATTTCCAAGAAGCGCTGATAAATCAAAGGGCCTGAGGCATTTCAGCACTAAAGTTTGCGAAAAAGTAAAGGAAAAAGGAAGGACCAATTACAATGAGGTCACTTTTTTTGATGAGTTTCTTGATGGTTCTCTCTCATATTCAAATCGCTGATTTTTGCGTGTTAGCTTCACCGGTTGAAGTATTTAACTTACATTTGAAGTTTTCACCCATGATATGTAAG